AGAAGGCAGACACAAGAACTGCTTTTGGAGAAGCATCTCTTTTCTGCGAGAGGGGCAAAGCTACCTCAGCAAACAGCGAGGGATGCAGCTGGAGACCCTGGGATGCTCTGCTCCCACAGGGCAGAGCTGTGTTTCCCCGGCACGGCGCTTCCCTGACTCTCGCTTGTGACACCCTGCGGTCTCCGGCTTCCTCCGTGCCACCATCTGAATGACACAGTCACAATAGAGACTCCACTGGAGTCCAAGGGTTATTGTCCGGGGATTTATCCCCTCCTTTCAGGACAAAACCACACTCAAATTTCCTCCCCTTGGCAGTCGCACTGCCTGCACTATCACTTGTGGATCTCAGGGCATGCCTCCCCAGCAACATGCATGATATATCAAATATTACAGGAGGTTCCCCAAGAACTCCAGCCTTCCCTGTAGGCAGCAGGAAACTCATCGCCATTATTCGTGATGAGAAAATCGTTTGAATTTTCTGTGCTTATTTTCTGTTCCTAAACTGGGTTTAACAAAGTTCAGTGGCAGTTTTTGATCCTGATGAGTCTGGAACGTTATCAAATAGTGTTATGATTATCATGACCGACTTTTCTCTTTATTAAAAAAGTCCTTCTTTAACTGATAAACCAGTACAATTCTCACATTCTAACACTCACTTTCATCAGCCTAGTACTGCTCTGTAACAGCAAACCAGAGCTTCCCAAAATCTAACCAAGCACATATACTACACACATTTTAGATAACACCAAAATACCACTAATTAGAAGTAAATTGTTTCGATTTTGTTCCTTATGGTCTGCTTGTTTCATAACAAATTCCCCTGAAGATCTTTAAAAAGAATATCTTTCTTACCTTTTTTTTTTTGCTGCCGCTGAATATTTTTTTAACTTTATTTTCAGTACTAGTGAAATCCATCATATTATGACAAGAAACCAAAATTGTTTCATTTCATAAGATCCTCTAACAGCATGAAGCTAACCCCGTGGTCTTTGAGAAAGAAATTCTGCCAGCTATGGGTGTATAAAGAATCAGCAGAGAAAAGTTTCTCAGACAGAATGGTTAGTCATGATGTGAAGAATGTGTGTCCCCTACAGATGTTATAGCTATTTATATGATAAATCCCAATCATCAATATGGGAATTTTACAGCTTTCTTTTAAGTTAATGCTCAAGTTTGAATTAATCTTCTTTTGACAATGTTTGCCTAATATTTCAGTGTTGAGCAATATTTCCAATTTTTTTCATTTACAGTGAGCCTACTGGGCACTTTTAAAGCTATATTCCAGACTTCATACTTGCTTCAAAAGGACTTTTTTAATTCTTCAATATTTCACACATACCTCTAGGAACATCAAGGGCAGTAACTACTGAGAAATGCTTAATAAGAGCACGTCTAGACTTGCAAGTTACCTGGAATTAACATTAGGGGTGAATTCAGAGCACAGGGCAGATTCTAGAATAGTTCCCTACACAAACACAGCCATTCTAGAATAAAATGAACTCATTCTGAGGTTTAACAGTTAGCTTGAACCGCTTTGAGTAGCACGAGCTAAACTAAAACACGCCAGGTTTGTTCCAATATGACAGCATTTACCCTGTAATTGAAAGACAATTCTGTGTCCATTTGGAAGTGAGTATCTTCCTATTATGAGCTGAAAAATACAGAAAAAGAGAGGAGGAAAAGCAGCCAACACAGCAGTCCTGTGTTCATATGTCATGTATCTATATGCTGMTGATGATGATATATAACCATATCTATATAGCTATGTAATAAATATATACAAATATACACACACACACGTATATATGTGATTGTATGTGTATATATACAAATATATAGTGTGTCTGTATGCCTATACATACATATACACATTCACACAGGAACATCCATAAAATTCAAAATAAACAAAGACAAAAAGGTGGCTGTTTTCTAGCTTTTGGCAATCAAAATAATTGCAACGTTAAAGATTTCCAGRTTAAACTTCATAAAATTTCCCAACTGCAGTTCCTAACCCAGCATATCTGCCTCCAAAGAGACCCACAGTTTGCTTGCCATGCTCTGCTCCAGATATGAGCCACAGATCCATACACCTATTCCCACAGGATCAGTAGGAGGGCGATTGGGCTTGTCACCTGGTTTTGGTTAAATCAGGAAAGGGGATGGCAAGTTTTTTTGCTGAAGAAACAATGAAAATGATATGATAAATGGGGATCTCAATTCAACTGTGTGAAATCTATTGGAAACAAGCTATAAACTCTAAGGGCTCACACTACTAATCTATCAAAAAGAGCTTCTTAGTGGGATACCTGAGCTATAAAGGGAAGGTTTCTACACAAAGACAACGCTGGGCTTTTTGTTTGTTTTATTCTTAGAGTCTCTGGCCATAAATACAGCTCTAGGTTATGAACTTGCTGTGATTTCCCTTTGTTAAAATGCTATTTTCAGCAYATGTTCTATCTGCTTTTGCTACTATCTTTTAACAAATTATCTGCGGATGTGAGATGCAAAAGTGTAACTGAAAACTGGTAATAATAGATTGCTCAACCTCAAAAATGCTTTGGTCTAAATATAACATCCTGGGGGCAAAGAGCAAAGCCAGACCGGCACAACCTGTCACAACCTGGTCCCACAAAAGCACCAGTGATTCATGAGGGATCTCCAGGAGAGGGGAGCATGTTGCAGAGGTGCCTGGGCCAGGGTCCCCTCATAGGAGACACTGGAACTATTCAAACCAAGAACTTTTCCAGGGATTTAGGGGGAAGAGATCAAAAAGCTTAGATTAAAAAAAAAAAAAAAAAAAAAAAGCAGGAATAAATCTACAAAATTCCTCAGCCCCAGACACTCCCACACGGTATCACTGGTGATATACAAAGCACTTTGAAGTGGAAAGCACAAGGCTGAAAACTCCTGTTGACATTCGTGATGCCTGGTGTTGCCGCTCAGCAAAACCGAGTTAGTCACATGCTGCAGAGAATCCTGATGCAAGYCCAGAGAATATTTAGGGGTAACAAAAAAGAGTGGAGATAGAGAAGATTCCGGCACTTTCGTGCTCATTTAGATTTACTTATCTTTTTTTTTGTGGTGTGCGTGTGTACGTSTCCTACTGCAAACAGTCTTTACTTTCAAATCTCATTACAACCTCTACAAGCTCTGTGCTCATGGGGAGGCAAAGCTCTGTCAACAAGTGCTCATAAGGCCAGAGTCCCAGCCCTGTAAGGATCATGCTGGCRAGCACCTTCAGGGAAGGCAGGCAGAGTAACTCTATTCCTGCAAGTCTTTGGCTTCTCCAACATCTCTTCAGCCTGCATGAGCTCAAGGAAAGAAGATGGAAACAAATTTAAAGCCCATATTTGACCTACAAAATCTGATCACGGAGGTCTGGTGMCATCTACTGAGCAGGGGTTTGTCTTAGCTATGATGGTGCCAAAGACCTTTGTGCAAAAGTTTTATAGATGCAGTTCACTTCCTAGGAAATAGAGSCCTGCCTTCCTTCCCTGCCAAGCCTGTCACCTCAGGAGATTGGCAGGCAGAATATGGCATGTAGCTAGAGTGCTGCTTCAAAGGAAAAAGTCAGAAAACAAGAGCCCCTGACTGYAGCATAATCCACAGAGCAAATGGAACATTCTCATCTCAACAGAAAAGTGAGCTGTTTCACATCTCCACGCCATAGTTCTGGCAACTCTATTAAAAAAAAGGAAAAAAAAAAAAACCACAAAAAGAGGGTGATGGCCAAATCTGTGTGAAGCTGTCCTCCCCTTGTAAAACTGTGTTGTCGAGATCTAAGAAGCAACCTTAGCATATAGTTCATTCAAGCAATATTTAAAATGAGTAACCTCAAACTCACAGATTAAAATCACAATAGAAGCAAGATGACTCAAGTATACCAGAAAAAGGATTTCTATAAATGCTTCCTGCTGTAGGTTTTACTCCCATATAGCTCCAAAGATAAAATCTACTGTGGAATGAGAGGAAAGAATAATATCTCACAATGCAAACCCAAATCATGCTGTAACTGGGATAAAAGGAAACTTAACTATTTCATAAATGCTCTGATTAATATATATGGTAAAATTCATATCATTCTAAGCAATCGCAATCATTGCATTAAGGAAATCATATAAAGAAACATTGCCCTAAGTAAAAGATTGCCATAATAACATGAGGTTTGCTGTTTAAAACAATCTTTTCATCCTAACACAAGATTTATTTTGAATGACCTTTTCAGGCAACGGACATGTCAGCTGGTTTCAGCAGGACAGGCTACTCTTAATGTACTAGTGTTTAACTTTAAGGAACACCCAAGAAAAAGGAGCAAGTAACAGCCTGGCATCAGGACCTCTGTTTTTTCCCCGACTGCTTCCCTGTTTGCTGTCCCGTTGTTTTTGTCTTGTTAGATMCACATTAACTTGTTAAACTGACCTTCACTTCCCTCCCCATCCCTACAACACATTAAAATTCTTTAAAAAGACAACTTAGAGAGACTGCCTTTTGGTAAACCTCCTAGCGAGCACTCTACAGACTGGTCTGGCACGCAGTGTGTACATGCATCTGTCACGAAAATTCGATGACAAATCATCTGCTTCCCAACAGATAGGCTGCACTGACTTCAAATTCCCATGAAAACCTTTGTCTACCAGGAGGAAGGATATTCTTCTTTAAGGCAGTGATCTTTCTCAAACTTCACTTCAATCCTCCACTTGCTTTAGTTTGCAGTATCATTTATTTGCACAATAGTTTTTTTTTTTTTTGGATCAGTTAAAGCCTGTCAAAAGATACATCTTCCTGATCATCTTTGGGGAAAAAAGTAAGAAGACAGGAATTAATGAGGGGAAGGAAAGCAAATACTTCACCAGTAATGACACTGTTTTTAGGTCRTCATAAGTGAAGATCCTTTCTAAGACTGACCTACCCCAGTTTATTTAAAATTAAATTGAACTCGAACTGATAAACTACTCTTCTGAGATTAACCATGCAGCAAAGAACTGAAAATCTAAACATACCTGAATTGGAGTCAAACTTTGTTTCTGACCTGCAAAGGAAAATATAAAGATTGTTAAGTTACAAGAACCGCTTTATGCTAAAGAAGTCATTTGACAGATTAATCTCCCACCCTGCAAATATTTTATTAAATAAGATAGTTTCCCTATGCATGTCAATATTGGATATATTCAAGGTCATCTGCTCCTTAGTAATATGTCTTATCTTTGATATTTTGATTTTCTTACGAAGTATCTCTACAAAAAACATTTGTAAAAGACTAATCACAAAACACATCCAGAAAATATAAATTTTAAACCAGGATTGAGTTACATGTTGTGAATAACAGCTGTTCATATGAAATAAATGCTGCTTTAATTCATTTTCATTTTAAAAAAGTCATTAGCAGAATTGAATTTATTCAAGAATGTTTCCAAGCTACTTGTGAAGCAGATACCGTTTCATTTATGTCACATGTATTGTAACCAGGCATCTGTACTTAGTTGAACAACATCCTATAAGGGTTTTGTTTGTGAGTCTCCTTAATTTACTCACTCTGTACATATGAATACGTGGATTGATTTTCTTAAAAGTGGAAAAAAAGGTGAAGGGAGGTGGAAAAGAGGGAGAGAGGAAGGGAGCCAGACCTAAATTTTAACTTGTTTTAAAGTCTGTGCAAAAAGACAATGATGTGTGCATTATGCACCATTAGCTCTGGTCGTGCACTGCAGATTTTTCCCTCTCTAACAAGCAGCGTTTTCTTCTAAGGGCTTAGCACTTAGCAAATGAACCCTATAACCTGTATATTTAATAAAGGGAAGAAAAAATTAGCCCTTGTGGGAACATCATGTTTCAGATATAGGTTAATAATACTTGTAAATGTCGAAGCCTTTGAAGATCTCAATTCAACTGTGGGAAACCTTAAGTTGGGTAATTACTCTCAAGATGCTGCTGATGTGCTGTCAAGCAGAATTAACCCTATGGCGAGGCCTATCTACCCAGCCTGCTCCAGGCCAGCTTTGTCTACACGGAGCTCGCCGAGCAATTAGCGGGCACGTTTATATTGCACCCTAACAAGCCCTCGCGCACGCGGTCGGGGCTGCGGCAGCGGGGTGCCCGCTCGGGCCAGCGGGAGCCCCTCTTCAACCACGTTACTCTGGCAGCAAAACGCACTTCCCCAGGCAGCCAAAGGAGGAAATACAACGTGGGATCCCTTCACGCTGCACCCACAGTGGATGTATCTTTGGAATTTACAGCCCTTTCCCTTGGCAAAAACAGTAACTGAAACTTAAGGACTAAGCAAAGGGGTTTTTTTTCTTCTATTTTTGTAAGTTTGTACATGCGGGTCTATTTTATACATATTGCATATATTCGTATAACTGGCATCCTAGTCGTACAGCAAGAATCCACAATACAGTGAATRAATATTAAATCCATCACAGTCAAGAAAAATGAACAAGCTCACACTGTCAGTGTAAACACTTCAAGCCCTCAAAAAGGAAACAACTCCCTTCTCTCCTCCTGTTCGCTCCTTCTCCATCTACTTCATTCTCAGCATTTTTTATATTTTAAATGAAACAGTCATGGAGGAAAAAGATGGAATGAAGATGGTGGAAAATTCTACCTCTCCTGTGTTACTTATCTAGGTGATATTATCTACTATTTATAAAGTACCACCAAAACTACTGCACAAAGAAGGTATGTTGCTGACCTGCTTTCAACATTAACAGTGCCGATAACCTCCCCGGTCGCCAGTCCCTATTGCTCTTTGGCAATGGGTTTTAGCTTGTATTTATGTGTAGCAGRATAAAGGGCCAGCCCTACAAAAAGGAACTATGCCAAAAAGAAGGTACAAATATGCAAAAGTTCCTATACAAAATGGAACTTCTGCCAAGAACTATGGGGAAGTCCACAGAGCTCAACTGAAAGGTGCTGTGCCAGGTGAAGCTGGTTGCTCAGCATGTTATTTACCATGTTTGCCTCTAGCTGCAGTAAATGTGCTCCCTGGCTACTCTGTCTTTTCTGGCTCATCACTCTATCATCAAAGGCTCTGCTGCCTCTATTGGTTTCAGTAGACTTGGCTCCAAAATAGCAAATAAAGTCGGGTGCCACCAGTTAAGACAGAATTATCTGCTAAGTCTTTAGGAGTAAATAAAATGGGGCTAGGATACGGGCAGCACRATCAGTTTTTTCCCATCTAAATTCTTTATATTTGTGATCAGTGAGACAAATATACCAGCACTCAGTCTGCATGRGTGAAAAAAAAACAGAAAAAAGGCTTGTGCTAAACTAGACAAAAGCCTGTGCTCAAATATCCTTTCTGTCTATCTCTTGGCTATAGTCCTGCTTACTCCTCTGACAGCTCTCTGGCCTTTCACAAAACTCTTCACAGGTCGTTGGTGCAGAGCTGAAGTATTGACATTTCAATCTTCTCCAGGCATGGGGAGTTTCTATCCCAGCTCTACTTAGACACCACCTACCACACGGTCTGACTTCCAGCTTTAAATTTTCAGATCCAAAAAAAGGCAATTGCGAAGCAGGAGGGAAAGATAACACAGTCTTTGCCATTGCAAATAAGCAACAACTACCAGATGAGAGAAGAGTTCCACACGAATGCAATGTGTTTTAAATATCACCAGGGAGATATGCAGAGGGAAATCCTTACAGTTAGAAATCAGATGTAAAACCTTGACCTACTTGTAGCAATGGCAAAGCTTCCAATGATTTTGATGGAATCAGCACTTTTCTGTAGATCTTCTGCATTTACATCTTTCTATATTTACAGTACACTAGGCAAAGCTATCAGTTTTGCTAGGTGCATGCAGGTGCTAAAAATATGCTAATAAAAAAATCAATAAAATAGGTAGTATAAAATAATACACCAGGAGTACCAAGGCATGCTCTACTACAAACAACAAGAAATCTCTTATATTTTTAAAGCTACTTCAACAAAAAGGAAAAACTCCTCTCTACCTTGTTATCACTGTATGTACTCTGATATTTGACCTGCTGGACAAGATGAACCTTACAGAGCACTGACTTTACAAACTGTCTTTTATCATTTATTACATCAAGAGGAAAAATAAAATTAAAAGAAAAAGGATGACTCTGTGCATGTTTCCTTTGCTTTTGCCCTGTGGGAGTATTCTGGAAGCTGGGGAATCATTCAGAAATATCTTTGTAAAGGTGGTTACATGACTAAGGAGAGCAAGAGGACATGTATAAAGTGCTTTCCATTTGCAACTGTGATATGACTCAAATACACACAGCACACGTGGGAACACAGACACCAGGCAGCTCAAGTACCAACACAAAATACACATGGAAATAGTGGGTCCCTGGGAAGCTTTAGCTAAAGGCAAGGTGCCAAAATACTTTTTAAGATCTCAGAGGGAATTAAATCAAAGACAAACAATACTGTATATGACGGTCCCTTTATCTCTGCAGAAAAGAGGTAGTAGATTTGTATCTACATCTTTCTAAAGGCTCTGTAAACCTGATGTTCAGAATATCAAATAATGAGAAAGAAAGAAAAGCAGATAATGCTGATGACTGTATGTTCTTGCACTGTGAACTTGCTAATACTGCCTTCCCAAGTMTGATTGAACGACAACTGCTCAGTGCCACGTGCTTAAGAATGACCCCACAGGCACCCCACAGGTAAAGCTAATATAAATCCATTGTCTGTCAGTGGCTTTTGATAAAGAGAGAGGGAACTGCACTGGCTGCAGCATCTCTGCCCTTACGTTAAAATATTTGGATTTTTCTTTCACCCTTCTTGATGCAGTTTTTATCAGATTCAGGTTTTGTTGCAGCAAAATAAACATTTGGAAGTAATTGTGAAGGTACTGCAGCTCTCAGAAAACACCTGATGAAATCTCCGTAGTTCCGATCTTTACAACAATTCCTTCCTTTCCAACACCAAAAGAGTCACCGACTCTTTGGCTTTCTTCCACCTTTGCATCTGCGGTTTATAGCAGGCTGCTCTTGGCAAGGTCTTGCTTCAAGGAGGCTAAACAAAGCACTGGTAGGAGCAAACATTGAAAATACTGCTCCTCTCTGAAAAGGACTTTGATAGAGTATGATCTGTTGCAGTTGTAAAYGTGATAGCTGAAACTGTGTTATACCTTTGCTTGCAAATAAATTTTATTTCAGCGTGGTGTCGGCAGTCTGCTGAAGAGACAGGGATCCTAGCAGGTTCCTGCTGCAATCCAAGCCAACAAGAGTCCTGACCCTGGTGATAAGCAACATAAAATGATGTCTCTCTCTTTCTAGTTTGTGTCCAGCAGTACAGGCGATTCTGGGTCAGGGTGTGAACATTCTTGGCCACAGTGTTTTTAATAAGCCAAACAAGGCCAGGGCACAACTGCTCACTGATGAACACGTCCCTCAAGACGGTGCTGGCCCCTGTACAGCTCACCATGACCTTGGGCTCTCCTAGGCAGGACCTGKGCAAGGGGCAGGGGAGGTGCAGGCTGTTCCCCACTGGCAGATGGACCAGGTCACTCCTCTCCAGAGGAAAGGAGAGGTTAGCCCTTCAGACAAGAGCCACACTGTGTCACTTGCTTTTATGCCCAGAGAGCAGGACTTGCTGCATGTTGTTTACGTACGACATAACTCTGGTCTCTTCAGAACACATACCATTGAATGCAAATGTTCACTAATCTTTCTCATGGGCCCAAGCTCCAAACAACAAGGTAGGTTTCCAGAAAGAAAAAAAATACAAAAATATCTCACTGGAAAGATTAATACCTCATGTAACTATATAGGAATTTCTGAAATCTCTATCATGAAGGAAACCGAGCAGCCTCTGACCATTAAGTGCCAAGTAGTTCCTTGCCAGCTGAACTAGCGAAGCAGAGTATCCTGCTGCTCTGTGGCAAGTGGAGAGATTCTGTGGTGTCTGATACGGTGAAACTTCTCAAGAGATATTGCCCAACATTGTACATTTATAATGTCTGTCTCTCTCTTCCACTTTCATGTGGATTTTCTGGTATAACAAAATAATATATATATTATTTGTAATAATATTATCTAGTATAATCTAATAAT